CAACAACAACAACAACACTAACCGAATTACCCATGCATGCCTAGCGCCCGTTCGCGTATGCCTTAATAGTAAAGCACAGGTGTTAAGTAGGTGACTTAAAAGGCCTCGCTCGCGTCAAAATAGGTATTTTGGCACAACCTTGAAGAACATTTCAATATTACTTTCTAACTTTGTTTCCTGAAGCTTAACCTATTCCTCCGATATACCCAAATTAACCAAAGCATCAGATTGTTGGAACAAAGTATAATGCCTTCTTCTTATCGCACCTTCCATCTACCTGCACACTCCGCCCATTCGGATAATGAGTTGTTGTCAATATGGGTCGACATCAAACGCTAGATAATGGATTTCAATTCAAAAATCTCTACTCCGTACTCGGAGCTTATTACAGCTTTCTTGCTTGAAAGAGTAAAGTTATTTTTCAGTCACATTTGACATTTGTATGTCTCATATTTACATATTCCATGACTTAGTCTTGCAGCACAACATTTTCAATTTTAATTTTGTATTGCAGGGGCGCCATTTGCCCAGACAGGCACGTTCTCCTGTGCTCCACGTAGGTTAAAGGGCACTTTGTTCAAACGTCCCCTTTTTCAGTGTATATTCTTCTGCTTGCAAAACCAATTTGTACTCATGTGCATGAAGGCAACATAATTCGGCCAGTATTTCTGCCCCCAACATAGCCGTAGATAAATAATTATTCTTGCATAAATTTTCATGTCGCGATGGAGAATTAAGACTGTCAGGCAAATATATTGAGAGAGGGTATTAAATCACCAGGTATGTACAACGTTTATATAGTTTGGGTTTAGTGGTTAACTTAGTCCCCACGCCGTCTGTGTGGCGAATTCAACGTGCTCAGGGCGGTGAGATGGGATGCTGGAGGATGCGAGGATAGACTGTGAGAGATGTCCGTGTGCCTAACAGGCAGAGTGCCTATGGCTGTTATAAGAGGTCTGAGCGGCGTCCGATTAACATGTGCAGTTGGCCAAGGAAAAAGACAGCTTGTATCCACGTTTTTTGACAGCATACCGGTCGATTTGCCGTATCGTCACTACCACAGCTGTTGCGTGCAACCATTTGCGTATACAATAAGAGCAGCCCGCTCACGACCATCATGATTTGACTATGGAGTTCGCTGATGTCCACCATGTGATTGGACACAGGGGTTAGTTTTAAGTGAACGTAGACGTCGCAGGCATCTTCCGCATTCTACACATTCGCCTGCTTGGGCTCGTAAAATGACAGAGTCCCAATTAAAGAACATGATACAGCGTGGGCAACTTTCTCCTGAGCACGCCCAAACACCGTCTGATCCAGACGTTTGTGCAATTTCTACCGCAATACCTACACTCACGCACCGTTAACCT